TGTATATATTACCCTAACCGTTGCAATGCACTCCATAAAATAAAGGCTTGCTAAGCAGTCATATGCTAACACGCCAATTGCTTTATGGGTTTTTAAAAAATWTTTGAGTATCAGCTAATCTGAGAAAAACCTTGCAAAGGATATAATAAAACAGCTTTTCATTCCTCTACCTTATACAAAGCATCGTTTTATTCAAGCTCCTCTTCACTTTCATGTTGTTGTAGAAAAGAATGTAAAAATGCCTAAAGTCAATAGTTTAAAAAAATCATCTAGATACCAACCTCATTTCTTCCTAAGCTGAAAGAAAAAAACTGTTTACGGAGAAATTTCCAGTTTACTTAGAGAATAATAAATTATTAATTGACATGAATAAAAAGCTTGTATTTTAACTATTTGTTGTAAATTTGCCCTATAGGTACTTGGTACCCAAATGGTGAGTCAGACTTTAAGATTTTACATCATTGTCACACTGACTGGAGTCAGGTATCCCAAATAAGAGTGTAAAATTAKTCAGCACAAAACCAAATTTAGATTTAAGTTCTAGAGTGTGTGACTTTGGGGACTTGACTTTCAACATAATTCTTGTCACCCACCGCCTAAAGGCAAAAACCAAAAAGGCTGATGATAATGTTTTTTTGCTTATGTTCATTTTTGTGAGTTAATTTGTCAGTCTGTTAGCAAAATATCTCATGAACAACTGGGTGGGTTTGAATTAAACTCTCATAAAGAATTGATTTTCTGTACATCTGCAACAAACTTGTGAGGGCAATGCAAGATAACCAACCTTAGCAAACACAAAAACGACTATAGCTAACTTACTTTTCCAGACATGGACATGAATTTTGATGTGGTAGTAACTGAGAGTCATTCCAAACATATATCCTCAGCACTTCCAAAATACCTGAAGTRTCTTGCAACGTCACCTCAAATTGAATGTTAGAGAACGTTATTCCAATCAGCTCAAACTCCATCTCTACTCATCATGAGACGATCTTGGTTTAAAACATGAAAAATGGTGGAAGATTTGCACTGAAGGAAGGCCAGGCTTTGACTGCATTTAGTGCAGGCTTCCAAGAAAATAAGATGTTTTTGTCCACATGTACCCTAAAACCCTTTACCGGGGCTGGCATGGACAGTATAGGCAAAGGCTAAGGGTTCTGTCCATCTAGGCAGCGCCACAAATGGGGGAAGAAATATAATATTTTATAACTTATTACTGCTTTGTTAGTACATGAGGTGTTATATAGTGCAAAGGAACTTTTGTGATAAAAAAATTAATGTTGATGCTCAGTGTATAAATAGAAAAACAGTTATGATGAGCTCAGATAATGTTCAGGTTTAAGTCTGGTTTTCAGTGTTTTATCTTCATAAAATATTGATTTTATGTTGTTTGATTTAAACCAAGAATTTAGTAAAATGCTTTTGAAATGGCTGGAAAATGCATGGTTTTGAGTAGATTTCTTTTTACATAATTTACCCCCAGAACTGCTTCACTCCACTTCTGCTCATGAACATGAACAGGTGTTCCTCATTGCTGTCAGCAAACGTTGGTACTTCTGGTATTCTGTTTCAAACGAATTATATTGTTGAAATAAAAAATAATATTTAAAGACAAAACTATTTAATTTGTAATTTGGCAGTGAAATTTAGAAAATTGCAAAAGGAGCACCACCTGGAAACTTGCATAGGGTGCCAGACAGGCTAGGGCTGGCCCTGTGTTTAACATTTACATTTGGCACAGAATCCAACATGTAACTTTTATGTGTTTCTACAGAATGAACGAAACTAATGTTGACTCAAAAATAAAAGGCCTTTCTTAGTAACATTTTTTTTGGTAGCTGCCGCAGTTTCTCCTCTATGTTTACAAGAAGAAGTGTGAAGTTGATTAGTTTGGCGCAACAAAATATTTTGTGGCTAAAGGAATCACGGAAAAACCTACACAAATATTTACGCCTGAATTGTCCGATAAGAGCAACTGGCAACGCTAAATTGTTGTTGTTCTTCCTTTCATTGTTCCCGTTGCTCCCTGATTAATTGTCCCATTTGACCAGTGCTGGCAAAAGTATAGTAATAAAGTCGACCATGTGGATCATAGTGTGGTTTTTGTACACAAAGGATTTGTTTTTTTTTCTTACGTCGTGAATTGTGGGCTAAGGGATGAAATTTGGCAGCCAGGGCTCTTCTGTTTGGTTGTGATAGTGTAACTGTCCTGGAAAGGAGCATTTCCTGCTCTACAGAAAGGGGCACACTTTCACTGCTATTGGAACTTTTTTTTTTTTTTTTTGCTTAGTAAGCAGGTCCTACATTTATAGCTGGGCCTCTGCTCCAGAGCTACACAGATGCTTTGAATCGTACACATCTGGTGCTCGACACAAAGAGCCACCCAAACTACAAATGAGGACAAGACAAGACAGGATGAGCTTAAAAGAAAACACGAAGGAATACTTTTAGTTTAAAAGATTAAAAAAATAGTAATAAAACTCTGAAATTAACATATTTAATTATTTTTTTTTTGTATCTGCATATTTTGCATTTGATAAGTGATGTCACCCTTTTGTTTAGATGATTAGTTAATAACTCAGAAAAAGCTTTCAGGTCTTTTGTAAGCAGAGAAGGTTTGCTCACAGGCAAATTTTATTTTCAAAATGTTCAATGATTTACTGTAAAAAAAGGCAGATTTTCACTAAATGGTCCCATTTTTAGTCTTTTGAAAGCATCCACAATTTGACAGTCTCCAAAACATTTTATTTTCCCCTCAGATAAAAAACACCTTTCACCTCACCTTGATCAAAAATAAGAAATTATATTTTCACATTGATCAAATTGGCTTTTTTGGAAATAATGATAACGTGGCAACTTTCCAAAACTGTAAAAAAAAATTCTGTTCTGAATTTTTTACACCACTGCTCTTTTTACTAATGATCATGACAGCRTGGAATATTTCCACTATTTCCAAGTTGAAAGACAGAGAGTTTTCCATTTGATTTTTCTTAATTGGAACACAGACATTCAGACTTCCCAGTAAAAAAAAGGAACAAACTTTTACCATTCATTTAGTTTTTCRTTTAAATATCACAGATCTTGTTATTAATCTATATGTGGATTCTAGGATTGCATACTAACGTACGACCAAACTTTGGCCTCACAGTTGCTTTGCATAAACAAAAYATTTATTCATGTCTTCAGTCATTCCTTCACACATTTTCTAACCCCCCTATATCTGATCCGGAGTCATGACCTCTATTCCTGGCTTTTATTTCTTATTTCCATCTGCTTGATTATTGTTCTGTTTGTACATGTCATGTCCAGGAAAATATATAAATGTGTTCATCCAATTCACACTTCATTATAAGTAAAACACGCAATCAAATAAACCAATGTAAAGATTAGCTTCTTTTTGTCTATTTCAGAAAAAAAAAACAATAAAGTTGTAAAAAACGTCCCACTCAGTTCAGACGAATGATGTCATCTATGTCCTTCATTTTGAATGGTATACATTTCCAAAAAAGGATTTGATTTCTAGAAATTTGCTGACAGGAAACATCAACTCTAAAGCCAGGTGCATGTTGAGAAATATTGACTGTAGTCTGTATTTTTAAGAAGTATTTTTAGTAGTTTTAATAGAGGCACTTTCTGAATGTACTGAGGGAGTGAGGGGGATTGGAGCCAGCCCACCCGTGATGCACTGCTGTCTCACAACAAACTTTTTTTTACTCCTCTCGGGACACTCAGCAGAAAGTGTTGTCAATTTTATTAACCTTTTCTTGTTTACATTGAGTCTGTAGCTAAATCAGCTAAAGTTTGTCGTCTCTTCAGCAGTGGTCGGCACAGTGAGCAAACTCACACKAAAGATTTGTCACTTGTTTTGCACAGGATGCTCTTCCTTGATGCAACCTGGRCTCAAACCTGCAACCTTGGGATAACATGTCTGCAGCACTGATCACCAAGCCCAGCTGAATTAGGTAAAGTAAAGCATAATTATATTTGCTGAGTTTCAAAGTTGTTTTTAGCTTCTTTTTGACTAAACCTTGTGCTTTAAGGCAATRTAAGTGATGCAAATATGACGGCATGTTTATACAGATTTTTCTGAGCTTTTGGAAACAGTTGTTTTGTTTGACAAGAAGAGATAGTTCACTGACTCTGTTACAAGTCAGTCATCCATRGGCGGCAGGGGCTGGGAGGTTAGAATAAGTGACACATGAATGAAAAATGCTGAGAAGCACTCTGTGTAGCTTTAATTGGMTTTAAATGAGTTCTCTTTGTGTGAAAAAAAAGCACTGAGGGACTGTTGCACATATAAACCAGCACATGTGTGTTAAACCTAAAAAAATCTGAGTGAAATGTGTGATTTCAAAAGATTCAACGGTACAATTAATCTGCTGCAGTTCTGAGCTGTTCAAATGACTCTTTTAAAAGTGACAAACTTACAATGTTTAACAAGTGGATTTGACATTGATTTTGGACAGCATCAAAGTAAATGCTGTAAYACAAACTTCATTTCATCAGTTTCTTCTCTTGATTTGTATGTAAAACAATCATTACATGTTACAAGCCTTTAATTTTATAATTCAGGGCTTTCAGTAATAACAGCAGCCTTCACTCCTGCAGCTCAGTTTCATTTTACCTCCCTGTTCAACTTTCTCATCCAGCTTACCTAGACTGATACAGATGCAAGAAAAAAATATTCCATCCGTCCATCCATTCGTCTGTCTGTCAGTCCATACATACATCATATTTTTCAGCTTACTCAATAAGGTGAAAGCTAAATGTCACTTGTTTTCTGTTTCAAATGATTTGTACTGTGAGCTAAAACAATATGGTAAATAGTTAGTGGCTTGAACTTATATAGTGCCTTATAAAGTCCATACAGGCTCCAGAGCCCTTTACACTTCAGTTATTCACCCATTCACACACACATTCACRCACTGATGGTGGTAAGCKACATTGTAGCCACAGCTGCCCTGGGGCACACTGACAGAGCAGGGGCTGCCATGCACCTGAACCACCAGAAACAGAGAATATGCAGAGAATAGAAGAAAAAAAAGAAGAATGACAGAAAAATAAAAAAAGATGCCAGAACAAGCAAACATGAATGAGTTAGAGATATTGATAATAAAACACCTGCACAAAAGAAAAATACTGTAAACATCCATCCATCCATTATCTATACCCATTTCTTCCTTTCAGGGTCACGGAGGTCACTGGTGCCTATAYCCAGCAGTCACAGAGCGAGAGGTGGGGTACACCCTGGACAGGTCGCAGGTTACTATTATGTTACTACTATGTTTAATACTTTAAACAGAATATTGATAAAACAGCAGTGGTGTAAMTCTAAAATTAGAGATCAAACTGTTTTCTGCACTGAATTATTACACTAGACTTTGAGCTTTGTTGAAGCACACTCCAGAACTGTTAATCACGGGACTGTTAAAGAGCAGATGTTCTTTGCACACTTTTTTTTTTCTTTTCAGCTCTTGATTTTTTTTTTTTTGGCACTTCCTGAGCGACTCTGAGCTGGTGGTACAAACATCCCCTTAAAGCAGAGCCAAGAATAGAAGGAGCGGGGCAAAAATTGCTTTATAATTTAAAAGAAGAACAAATGATAATCCCCCTTTCCTAGAATAGCAGCAATGTTTTTTTTATTAATCTAAAAGGCAGTGCTGTGTACAGTGCATGTTAATGATTCTTAAAAGAACATATCAGAGCTAAAGATTCTAGAATGAACTAATATGTTTATCCTATACCAGTATGAAATGTGGGCAGTCATGTAGTAATTGCTTCTGTGAATATGTTTGTTTATCTGTTAGAAAAATATCTCATGAACAACTCCAAATTTGATGAAACTCTCCAAAAGTAGTCWTTAGGCACAAAACATAGGCGTTCATCATTTAGTGTACTTTCATAACTTTTGGAGTCAACCTCATTCAATATGACATCAGTAGCTATGTTTACATGCACCAATTTTTTTTGATCGGATTGAAATGTATTTGGATTAAATAATCCAAATGTACTGTTTACATGGACAAGTGTTTACATGCACAGGACTTTTATTCATAATAAAAGTCTGGACATGCGCAGTGATGTAAACTTTCAGCTCTACTTCCGTGTTACAACCGTAAACAAAGCTCTTCTGTGCGCTCAGGACAGACCTGTGTCAGCTTTTAATGACGGTAGAGACGCCGTTCTCCTCGGCTGAGCTGCAGATGAAGCAATACRTGTTTTTTATTTTTATTTATTGCGAAGCAACGTCTGCTGTGTGTCTCCTTTTTAATCTGTTAAGAGAGCGTGGAGGAAAAGTTCTGTGCGGCGCAGCTGGAAACACTGCTGCCCCACAGAACTGGGTGAATGAAAGACCTGCGCACTCAGGTCAGCTTTCTACAATCAGAATAAGATGATCTGATTAAGTGTTTACATGAACGTCATTCTGATTATCAATCGGCGTAACCCACCTCTCTCATTTGGATTAAAAATTTATTTGGATCGAGCTCAGTCGGATCAGAATAATCTGAACGGGCTGTTTACATGACGCATTTTTATTCCGAACGGCCGTTTAATCCGATTACTTATGTCCATGTAAACGTAGCTATTGTTAATTTAGTTTAGTCAACAGAAACTGGCTATTAAAACGGTAATTTCACCGACATTATGCTTAAATTTGGCATGGTTGTAGCTGAGAGTCATCCTCAACACATACTTTGAGAGCTTATAAGTATGTGTCAGATTTAAAATATGTCACAATGTTGCATACATTAGTGCAAAATGTCATTTACAAAGGATGTGTCTCACTTCAGAGGTTGCAGCCCACGTAGTAGGTAGGCTGGTTACGTCACTGCCCTATAGGCTGTCCCAATTTGTGGACACCTCCTCACGCGGCCCACAAAACTCCAAACGCATAGGCTGTGACTGAGTAACCTACGCAGCCATTGATTGTGCCACCAGCAAACCAAACAGAAGAACRAAGATGGCTGAGCTATTTCATTTATTTATTTATTTTTATTGGCAGAATTTGGAATTTCATCACAGGCCAAAGAATTTGTTTTTAAATGTATATTCAGCAACTTAGCTGAAAAAAAATTGTTGGAATGAAATGTTAAATAAAATGCCAATACAAATGCTGATACTAGAATTAAACCCAAAATGTTTTCAATTAGTGTACATGTAATGTTTTTATTAATACTGAATTTTGTGAAGTTGTACCTGTGTGAATATGAGTTCCAACTGAAGGCACGTGATATAAAACATAACATCATGAAAATGAGTGGTCACACAAACATCATTTGTAGTCTAGACATCTCAGTTTAACAGTTTCAATCAATGCAGTTTATGTGGGCTGCAGCCCCTGAAATGAGGTTTGACCAAAACAACCAATTTCTGATTATCAACTCATAATTTGATAAAATGATCATATTCTTTTAAAACTATTACATGAAAGCTGTTGGGCCATATGCACTCATTCAAGCAATGCTAGGCTTTGAAACTGGTGGTAATCACCTGTTTCTTCTGTTTCATTGAGTAAACATGTTTTCAGATGGAAGAGCAGGAGCATTAAGACATTGTACATGCAGCTCCTCTTTATGCATACACTCACACACTGATCAGCTTGTGAGATATAGGTTTAGTGTCCAGACCACAGACCCCTTCGGTGTGTGGAGAGCCTGCAAATTGAAGCCACAACCTCTCTATTTTAACCGCTCTGCACAAAAAGGAGGCCACATGAAAGCTGCAGTTTRTATGTTGAGAGCCAAAAAAAAGGCACATCACAAATATAATTCTAATATTTCTGGATTGATGCTCAAGAACAGAACAGATCAAGGCCAGTAAAAAATTCATGTCAGCATGGAGAGAGTGTTAGAGCCACACTGGTCCGTGGAGACAGCCAAATTTAACTGTGAGAAATATTAATTATGCCAGCTGGTTTTGCACAGTTGTTAATCTGGAGACAAGCAATATAATTCCCTGAGAGATTTATCACTGATCATCACATCAACCAAACTATATTTCACGTGAACCTTATTTCCAGGAAGCACCATGGACAGACTGTGGATCTTGTGTGTGCTCCGAAGTTTCTAAAGCTTTTATTTTTACAGCAGATTTTTCAGTGAAAAAAAAAAAAAACTACAGGCTTGGCTTTAAAGGATTGCATATTACCCGCCATCTTTCATGAATGTTTTAAACGATCTTAGAATGAAAAGGAATAGTGGTAAAGTTTTTTTTAGTCAACCCTGATGTTTTGCACAGYCTCATGCAAAATCTCAGAAGATGYATTAGCTCTCAGAGGATTTGTTGARAGCAGGGTTGCTAGATTGAAAATGACAAAACATTGTATCGTCGACCATAAAATGATCACATATACATCCAAACTGCTGTATGTGCTGCCTGTGGGGGATCTTTGTCACTCAGCCAGGGTGTGTGTGTGTGTGTGTGTGTGTGTGTGTGTGTGTGTGTGTGTGTGTGTGTGTG